TTTCTACGGGCTAGGAAATCCATGGCCCGTGGCCCGCCCTCATTAGCCTGCGGGCCAAATCGGCCCGCCCGCGGGTTTTTTGGTATTATGTACTCTTATATACTTTTTTGTTTGTTTATCTTTATATTTACTAGTATATTAATAAACTAGTAAGGCTTCATGTGTAATGATGCTAAATATTTGTCATCTTGTTTTTATTTTTATTTTTTTATGAATAGTTATAGGGTATTCAAGCGGAGGAGAGACTTAATTCACATAAAATATTATTTGATTCATTAATATTTTTATTATGTAAAAAAGTGTTTCATGTGCATTCACAAATCTTAATATCATTGTCAGATTTTAAAAAATATAAGATAAATAAATATGAAAGAAGAAGAAGAAAAAAAAAAGACGATAAAGACAAATAATACTAAATAAATAAGAAATACAAATTTAAATAATATAAAATTAATAAATAAATAAATAATAAAAAAGGGGCTGGACCGCGGGCCATGTAAATGTGTGATTTTACACCATATTTATAGAGTATTTAGAGCTTCGTCATTGCATTATTGGTGTATAAATTGCATATTTGTGCTTTAATTCTCTATTTGTTGGAAAGGTATTACGCGTGCTTGTTTTGTAGATATTTTCACATATTTGTAGAGCTTGTGGCTATTGGAGGTGCACGTGGAGTACCTAGGATCCCCGGGATGATGAAGGATTGATGCACGGATGAGAAAAATGGAAGAAACGAGCAAAACGGACAAAAACGTGCATGCTGTGGCGTGACACGACCCGTGACACGGGCTCTAGGTCGTGTCACGACCCATGTCGTCCAACAGAAAGAATTCGAGGCCCACATACCTGACACGACCTGTGATACGACCTGTGACACGGGCGTGTCTGGTCATGTCGCGCGCGCAGGCTGTTTTTTATATCTTACCTTTTTGGATAAGGAGAGGAGTTTGGACATTAAAAAGAGCATATTAACCCTATTCTGGGGGAGGAACATAGAGAACACAAGGAGAAGGGTTTGGAACACAGAAGAGAAGCAATTGAGAAGAAGAGAAGATCAACCACAAGATTTCTAGTTTTTCTTTCTCTCTTTTGAACTTTTATTGATCATGTCGATTTCTAATATTTTTATGTGTTTGAATTCGAACATGAGTAGCTAGATTTATTGATTCTAAGACTTGGTAGTAGATTAATATGTTGGAATTTTGGATGATTTATTTATAATTTATTGTTTTTTCTTTTGAACCCTATTCAAGTATTTTGTTCTTATTCCATGTTTAGAACTTGATCAATTCTTTTACACGTTTGACAATATTGTTCATAATTCGAGAGATGAGTTCAATATTAAGTCTTTAATATTTGACATCATTTACTTGCTTGAATCGAGAGATTAGTAGGTAATTGTGAGGATTTTGGATCTTTTAATCTATTTGGAGTTGAATTGCATGTGTTGAGTGGAGACGCTAGTATATGTGATTTAATCTACGGTTTTATCGATCTCGAGAGGGACGATAGACTAATTTTGTGATTATCTTATAGGGTAGATAAAGAAAATAGTTAATTGTGATATATCTGAAGGAACCCAACTGTTAATTGAACCCATAGTCTTAGAATCTACCATTTCCATATATTCTTCTTAAGTGTTTTTCTAGTTGTTTTCTTGTTATTGATTTCTTATCTTTTGATTTATTTTCTTAGTTTAGTTAATCAATCTTATATTCGGTCGTCTAAATAAAATTGGCACTATCATAATCTAGTACTTGATTAATTGGTTGTTTGGTCTCTTGGGATACGACCTTGCTTGCCACATACTACGAGCGAAGCCGTACACTTGCGGTCGAGCTTTAAAAATATAGGCGAACAGGCCAGCCTGCCCCCGCCCGCTTTAGACCGCGGGCCGAACGGGGCGGGCCAAATAGGCCTGCGATTGAACGGGCTGGCCAAGCTAAGGCCCAAGCCCATCCATTTAGGCGGACGGACGGGCCAGCCCGCGAACCATGGCCCGTTTTGACAGTGCTATCTTTTGACATTCTTTCTTATCTCTTAGTCTTTCGTATCCGACTGCCTAATGGTGCGACCAGCTCGAGGTCTGCTGAGGTATAACGCTGTTGGTTCTAAGCCTATGTGTTGTCCTTTCTAGTCGATTACATGACCAACCATGCCTACAGGTCGAGTTTCCAACAGGCAATCTGAGGGCCCTAGCTCGACCTGCCATTGTCCCTTTGAACGCCTCTCGCTTTTTTCGACCCAATGATTTCTCGTCAACGATCGACCTCCCTGCTGCTCTACTTTGACCACCCGATTTGTTCGACCTAGCTGACCAACTTCTCGGGTTTACCCTTCTGGGTATAGTACCCCATATCATCTTAAAATTTGAAAGGAAGAAATCTTGTCTCAATGTAAGATTTATTACTGGCTCATTACATATCTACCGTGATTTACTTATGTGTGATTTATTATAAATAATAGTAGATATACTATTTTGCAGAAAATTTTGCACATATACATTACTAGACCAAATTAATTAGGTAAATACTAGATAATTAAATTGTGGAATAAAAATGGTATGTGTGTCTCACATTCTATAACTAAATGTTATCTCTCTCCTCCTTAATTAATTTATAATAATTAAAAAGATCAGTCCCTAAATAATGCGCTCTCTCTCTCTCTTTCTCTCTCTCTCTCTCTCTCTCTCTCTCTCTCTC